ACTAATCATCACTAAGGGGTACAAGATTAGCAAGAATGTGGCAGAAAGATTGAAATTCCAAAATAAACCTGTGATCAATTAGAGATAATTCAGGATTCACACAACACAAATCCCATGCTGGTTTGGAAGAAAGTTAAAGGTAGCTGTTGGCATGGTAACGTGGCTGTATACTTACACACTTACATAGTGATTTTTTGGGGATTTCGCAAGAGTTAAAATGCTGCCATTATTTCTGTGGATTCCTTATCAGATCCAGATTGAGTTCATTTTAGATATTATTCGAAGTTACTCTGCAACAATATAATCATATTAATTTTATTATGTAAAATATTCACTTTATTCCCTCCTGGTGTTGGAGAATACAATTTATATTTAAGCAAAATGTTCCAGGATAGATCTATGGAGAGGGGCTTAACTATTGATGCAACTTAGTAACTTTCGGTATGTTCCATGTTTGTCTTCATGCACGTGGTCAGAGTATGAAAGGTGCTGCCCCGGAACATTACCATTCGGTATCTGCTGGCTTCCATCTTTATATGACCCACTTTAGTCAACGAAGGACATTAAAAAAACAATTAAATATCTTCTATAGACTTGTTCGCACTTTGGCTGAGCATTGTGCAAGTAATTTACTTATTTAGTGACGATTGACTTTATGCACGACGTTTGACCCACATTGTACGCATATAATAAACGCTAAAAGAAACGAGTCGAATCCACGTATTTGACCTAATTCTGGTTAGACCATGGGTTCTAGCAGTCTTACGGCACCTCCTGAAGTCCTCAGTGATGGACACTTGGCTTACTTGCCCACCTTGACTTTGTCCCAGTGTAAATGTCCTGGTAACCATATACATATTCATACGCTCCAGGAAGCAAATCCGCAAAACAATCAAAGCGGTTGGTTCCTCTAGGATTCCTCCATGGTTAATGAACTGGTTTCTTTACACATAGACATGGTTTCTGCAAAGTATGGCTGGTCAGGCCTTGCTACAAGAAGGGTAACACTAGATCATAGGTTTAGCAAGGTGTTAACCAATTGGATAAGCTATAGAGAGTTTAGGAACTTTTCAGCCAAATGTCAGAACAAAACAAACAATGCAAATATTTGAACGGGTGGAGGGCTAAGCGTAATGACTTTGTAAGGGTTACGAGCTGCTTAATGTGAGTTCAGTCCGTCTATAGACCGGCAGAAAAACTCACGCTGGGCGTTCGATTCTCTTGACCCTTCTTAAATACCTTAAAAAGGAAGGATTTCAAGTCATTAGGAAACCTATTTACTAAACAGCATTGTGCCGAGCCCAACCATTGTGAAAGCGCTGTCATTGTGAACTATTTACGTAAAGAAACAAAGTAAAAGGCTTAACATGGAGAGATCATTTATACGGGACCCTTAACTGGTACTTGGCAGGTTACAGCAGGTGCAACACATTAATAGCTGCTTAATAAAAACTTTTATTTGGGGGGAATTCATATTTCAATAATTTTATGGAAGCATCTCGTGGATAAAATAGCAAAATGCTTTTTCATTGTATTTAGAATTTAAAACATATTTCTTAACGCTCCCTAAATGTGATACTGTGCGGAGAAATATCTCACATTGCTGGTTCTTGAGGCTTTCAATCCCAAACTCTTCCATAGAACGACAAAGGAGAAAAAACAAATGAAATTAAAAAAATCTTACAATTACATATGTTTTGCATCTGGAAGATGTAATTAGATTCCCAATACACAAACAAGCAAATCACAATGTGTGTATTGGAATGGTAAATAAAACCTGTCAAATCACTCTAGATTAATGACATCGTTTAAAATATATATATTTGCATAACCTAGCTAGAGCACTCGGAGTGCTAATTAGGCCACAACCCCAGAATGGAACACAGGTTAACGGCAAAGAACGCTCTGCTCTTACTCCAGGAAAGGTAATATTTGCTGATCTACACAGAAATTACTGTCATTTTTAAACAACACCGTAGAAATGGCATATTTTAAAGGGACCCTATAGTCACCTGAACAACTTTAGCTTAATGAAGCAGTTTTGGTGTATAGAACATGCCCCTGCAGCCTCACTGCTCAATCCTCTGCCATTTAGGAGTTAAATCCCTTTGTTTATGAACCCTAGTCACACCTCCCTGCATGTGACTTGCACAGCCTTCCATAAACACTTCCTGTAAAGAGAGCCCTATTTAGGCTTTCTTTATTGCAAGTTCTGTTTAATTAAGATTTTCTTATCCCCTGCTATGTTAATAGCTTGCTAGACCCTGCAAGAGCCTCCTGTATGTGATTAAAGTTCAATTTAGAGATTGAGATACAATTATTTAAGGTAAATTACATCTGTTTGAAAGTGAAACCAGTTTTTTTTTCATACAGGCTCTGTCAATCATAGCCAGGGGAGGTGTGGCTAGGGCTGCATAAACAGAAACAAAGTGATTTAACTCCTAAATAACAGTGAATTGAGCAGTGAAATTGCAGGGGAATGATCTATACACTATAGTGACTATAGTGTTCCTTTAAATACTCAGTACTCTTTCAATGATATAGCACGGTATAGCAATTACAGTCAACATCACTGTAACACCAGGTTCTGACTAACTGCAAACCCTATAACTCTCAGCTAGGTTTAACTGGCTCTCAAGGCTCGCTGAGAGTTATGGAACCGCTAGAAGGAGTTAACACTGCCTTATACCTAGAGGTAAATAGACAGAACTTGCCCAGTGGGCACGGGAAAGTGTAGGGTTAAATTGGTCACTAGAATTCAGCTTTATGAACTGAAAACTGAATTGCAAAATGTGTGACTGTACCAAAACAGCTCATTTTGATTAAATTCAACATTCATTAAATGTTTTCTGAATGGGTTTTAAAAAAAAATCCAAAGAATTCAAAATGATTAATTACAGTATAAAAAAAACACAGCCCCTGTGAAACCAAAAAATATTCCTCACTAAGTAATGATCCCAGCAGCATTTTGGACAAAGGTTCCATTTCGCCTGAGAATGAATGATGATTAATTCAAGAAAAACAGTGAAATGAAAGAAACTTGAAAAATAAAAATAAACAAGTGACAAACTTTTATTTTTATTTTTTATGTCAGCTTAGAGATTTTAGCTTTTTTTCATTTTTTTTTTTATTTTTTTTTCACTCTCCAGTTAGTGAAAGATTTTTTGAACATGTGACTATTTGTAGGAGGGTATCCACTTACAGGATAAACAAATCACAGCGTGTCTAAATGATGCAACTTGTGTGTCCACAACCACCTACCGACCAATCATTCGTCCGTGTTTGTGAGACTCGCACATCTCAAAAACTTTCTTCCAAGAGGAACATGTAGAGTCCGTCTGTCTTGTTTTAGCTCCCTACTAATTTTTTTTTACAAACCTATAGCTAAAGAGTAAAAAAGCTATTTTATAAATATATATATATATATGAACCAAGAAAGGTGCACGCTTGTGGGCGCCCGGGGTGGGGTTCGTGGCAATCTCGGGGTCAGGTGTGGGTGGCGCAGTGGGGTGCAGCCCGGGTGGAGACGCAGGGCCGGCGGAAGGGCCGGCGGAAGTCGTGAGCGAGAGAGCGGAATTAACAGGGGGTGAGTCACAGGGTGTTGTGTAATTTGCAGTCGGTGGTGGAGTTTCCAGGGGTGATGCTGGAGAAGCTGGCGAAAGAGGTGCAGTTGGGGAGGATGGGGTGGCCCTTTCGTGGCATCTCCTCTAGCTAATTTGCAGGTGTCTCCTCTTGAGGTGGCTCCCAAGAAGGACCCTGGGAAGTTTCTACTCATTCACCACCGCTCTACCTGCAGGGGGCGTCGGTGAATGACGACATCGATAAGGACCTATGCTCGGTCTCTTATGCATCATTCGACCATGTGGTTGAGTTGGTTAAGAAAGCTGGGCATCGGGCCTTGATGGCTAAGGTTGATGTGGAAGCTGCTTTTCGCTTGCTTCTGGTTCAACTGGATTGTCATAACTTGCTGGGTTGCTTCTTTGACGGGGGTATTTTGTCGACTTATGTCTCCCGGTGGGCTGTTCGATTTCTTGCTCTTACTTCGAGAAATTCAGTTCCTTTGTGGAGTGGGTGGTTCATAAGGAGGCGTGCACTACCTGGATGATTCCTTCTGCGTGAGGCTGGCGAACTCCTCAAGTTGTCTGCGGACCATCGAATGGGTAGAGAGGCAGTATGGAGTGCCACTTGTGGCGGGTAAGACGGAGGGTCTTATGGAGTTTCTCAGTTTCCTGGGCCTGGAGATAGATTCGGAGCTAGGTGAATGTTGGCTGCCGCAGGATAAACTGGTGGGGCTGCGGGTAGCTGAGATTCTTTGGGCACAGAAGGTGACTCTTTGTCAACTGCAATCGCTCCTTGGGAAGCTCAATTTTGCTTGCATGGTGATTCCAATTGGACGGATTTCCAGCCGGAACCTGTCTGTGGCTATGGCGTGTGTGCAGTCGCCACACCATTTCATCTGGGTGTTGTCGCCAATGCGGGCTGATCTGGTGTTGTGGGATGCGTTTTCGTGGGATTTCAATGGTAGAGTGTTCTTTCGGCAGGCAGGGGTTTCGGTCACGGATCTTGAGCTCTTCACTGACGCGTTGGATAGCATGATCTTCGGGCCTTACTTTGGTGGTCTTTGGTGGCCACTTTGGTGCCAGAGCCCCCTCATTGGTTTACATTCAGGTTATTAGTGGGGGCCCCTTCCCGGCGCTGGTGGATAGAAATATGGCGGCGCTAGCATTTTGGTTCAAGTTACACGGGTGGGAAGATCTTACAAAGACCTTTGTGATTCGCCAGGCGCTTAAGGGGTATCTGAGGTCACGTAGGGTTCCTGATGCTCGGAGGCCGGTGTCCGTGAGGGTGTTAGGGGGTCTCCTTCGAGTGTTACCCGAGGTTTGTTTCGATGAATTTGAAGGGTTTCTGTTTAGCATAAACTAGCTCACACAGTAAGGAGGTTTGTAGTTTATACACTAGCTCACAGAATAAGGAGGTATTTAGTTCATACACTAGCTCACACAGTAAGGAGGGCTGTAGTTCATACAGTAGCTCACACAGTAAGGAGGGCTGTAGTTCATACACTAGCTCACAGAGTAAGGAGGGTTGTAGTTCATACACTTGCTCACACAGTAAGGAGGGCTGTAGTTCATACACTAGCTCAAAGAGTAAGGAGGGCTGTAGTTCATACACTAGCTCACACAGTACGGAGGGCTGTAGTTCATACACTAGCTCACACAGTAAGGAGGGCTGTAGTTCATACACTAGCTCACACAGTAAGGAGGGCTGTAGTTCATACACTAGCTCACACAGTAAGGAGGGCTGTAGTTCATACACTAGCTCACACAGTAAGGAGGGCTGTAGTTCATACACTAGCTCACACAGTAAGGAGGGCTGTAGTTCATACAGTAGCTCACACAGTAAGGAGGGCTGTAGTTCATACACTAGCTCACACAGTAAGGTGATTGGTTGTTTCATCATACCACTTATTTTCTTATTTGTCCATTAGTTGGAAATGTAAGATTTTATTGCTTGTAATTTGGGAATAATAGTTGGGGGTTATTCACTAAACCGAGAAATTGCTAAGATATCGCAAATTTAGGTCAGAATAAATAATACATTTTTTTTCTCTCCTTGTAGCTCGGCTCTATAGCAATATCATTATCAATTCTCCACAGTAAACCCGGCATATTTGAATCTGTGCCCAGTTTCTTTGATTTTCCTATGAGCTGTTCTACCCTGTTGGGCAGTTAAATTGCTGTATTATTTTGGCAATATAACCAGCAATGACTGGGCGCTGGTAGCAGTAGACGTGCCCTGGCTGAGTGGGTCGTTGTTGTGTCACACTGAGAAAGATCTAGCTTTAGATGACATAGATCTATAACCGGCTCGATCCGTTGCCTAAAAATGACCAGTAATGTAATTATTGGACAATACGTGAAGCAATGTATTGACACAGCAAGGGAACAGCGGCGGCTCCTGAGAGATTAACAATGACATAAAGATCAGAGAAAACTAAACTGCAAGAAAAAAAAGGGCGTCTTGTGCCCCCCTCCAGCCCCCACCCCACCGCCTCTTATCTACAGAGTTAAAAAGTACTACCAGATGTAGGTATTTGTAAAACATGACATTCTCCATTAAAACATTCAGTTAAATCTACAGCACTTCAGCATCCTCCACCCTCGGAGACCAAGGATAATCTTCAAATAAATCTCACTGTTTACTGGCAACTTTACTCCCAGAGGCATTTTAAACAAATAAAATAAATAATTACAAAATGCAAAGTAAATATAAATTGATTTCAATTGATAAATTGAATCACACATATGTGCAATATGGCTGTTATTGTTAGCCAAAGAAAAAGGCCTCAGATAGATAATCTAGAGATTGCCAAAAAATTGTCACAATGACGAATCTCAACATTTTTATTTTTGTCTACCAAAATTTCCCTGATGGTCTCAAAAGATCTTGGGTCTTACTGAGCAAAGATAAATTCTCCTCCCCAATAAGTGGTTCTGCTCAAGCATTCTGGTTTAAAAGAGTTTATCCTGTCCTAATGTGTTTTATACCCCACCTCCTATAGTCTGTAAGCTCGTTTGAGCAGGGTCCTCTCCAACCTATTGTTCCTGTACGTTTTCTTGTCATGGTCCTATTTATAATTAAATCCCCCCTCTCATAATATTGTAAAGCGCTACGGAATCTGTAATCTGACAATAATAATAATTAGGGATGCTGAGACTTAATAAGTTATTTAAATGTCACACTGGTTGAAATGGGCAGAGTGCGATGTATCACGTGTCCATATATATCGTGGCAGTAGAATAGTGGCATGTTAAGCACCTACGTGCCCCACAGGTTGTTACTGGGGTATATCATGACAGCACCCCCTAATGGACAGATGGAAGACTAACAGGTCCATGGTCAGGGCACACAGCACTTTAAGTCTAAGGTTTCTGTTCAAAATACTAAATTGCAGAGAATTAGAAAAAAAAATATATAAACTAAACTAGCTGCTTTGACTAACTAGAGTCACATTGTGGCTATTTTATCCTGAATTCCACATTCTTTCAAGCTTTTGAGGTCATTGCTAAAACCCAACTTAACAAAGCTCATGTTATCATTAACCACTAGCTGGTCTGGGTAAATTCCATGAGAAAAGGACTATATAATAAACAAAAATTGTGATTTATTAGCCAGACACCCCAAAACAATAAACCCCCCCTTCTGTCTATTTACAGTATTGAAAGGTTTCATACGATTTTCTGACTGCCTTCCTCTCTGATTAAATAAATTCATATTTATCATGTAAGACCCTGAGAAGGAATAAACAAACACTCTATCCAGGATTTAGATTGCTAGCTCTTCAGGACAGGACGCATTAAGTTATGACAGAGAGAAAACGATTATTTAAACAGTAAATTTTGCTGATTGCAAAATTAACACCAAATTAGCAGAGCATAGAAACATTTCCAATGTAGCGATATATCTCCAACGTTTTCCAGTGCAGAGATCATTTGTCAACTTCGCTGTTTAGCAAATAAACCCCAAAATCCATATTTATTTTAGTTAGCGAACACATCTAATTGCATCGCCCCCCTGTGTCCCCTTCCGAGCCCTCTCAGTTCCACCGTTAATTGCACCCCTTTAAATGCTCTTATTTCAGCGTGGGACAGAACACCATTAAAATAATTTGTATATGTGTGTTTATACGTGGCTGCAAATGGCAAATCCACTTGCCCTTATCCCCCCCTCTTCTTCCCCAATGTTCCCCCTTAGCCTAAATGATCTGCTAAGACAAATAATCACATGGCAGAGGACCGCAGTTCTCTGGCGCCACCGAGGAGAGCAGGGAGACGTGTTTGTGGAACTGAGCTAACAGGTGTCAGCCCAACACTGACCCGTGCAGGATATACAGGCTTTAATGCAGAAATACTGATGCGCTCTGCGGAAGCTCGCATTGCACAGAGCATCGTGGGAAGTTTTTAATGACTTGCTTAAGGGTACGACTTCATAATGTTTATATTATTGCTTACACGCCGAGTGGCTTTTTTCAGTTTCTCTCAGCTGGAAGTCGATGGGGCAGCTGAGCAACATCTGCTTGCTTTATTTTAGACAAAAGTAAAATCCAGCGGTCCCAGGGAATCTCAGAGCATCCTCCGAGGAATGCGACTTGGCTAAAATCTTATCGCGATCTGTCAGCATTCCAGATCTCTAGAGAAGCCTGCTGCATCCACTTCCTCAACAAGCGGATATTTGCCGTGTGCGTTCGCAGAAAACCAAAACTGATTTTATTTATATTAAAATGGAGAACAGAAAAGAATTCAGATCTTAAACTGTAAAGGTTTTAGGAACCTGGAAACCTAGATTGCGCGAGTTAATCAGATGTAATTAGCCCCTCTAGCCTGCCCAGCCTCAAGCAGATTGTGGGAAAGTTTCTTAATATCCCAAGCCTTCTTCCTTTCCCGAGTTAATGCTTACTGCTTCCGCTGGAAGGCCCTTCCAGGTATCGACTTCCCTTTCTATATTACTGTTACTGCTTCTGCTGGAAGGCCAGTCCAGGTATCTACTACCCTTTCTATTTTAATACTCCCACTCAACACAATAAAGTGCCTTTAAAGGGACACGCCTTGGCAAATTATTTTACAAGTTAGTAGATATATCTCCAGTGAAAACATACCCGTTTTTCCTTTTTCATTGTTTTTTTGGGGGAGGGGGGTGGGGAATATTATATGAAAATTAAGCTTGCAGTAGCTGCAGATCTAGTGTCTCCTCTAACCCTGTGTCGGTGAATTCACAGAACAGGTCTGGCTGTTTAGCTGCATGCGACTTTTCATTTAAACTCGCACCCTCATTAAAAACTTAAACTTTTTTAATTTATCATGAGGCCGGAAAGTCTGGGCGCCATCTTACCCTCAGCGTGTAACCATTTTACAACGGTTTAACCCTGAAGTTGGGGCTCGGCACCCGTCTCCCGTTCCTCTCTGCGTTGCCTATTGTACAGTGCTACGGAATCTGATGGTGCTATATAAATAATAAAATAATAATAATAATGAGGAAGGTTAAGCCAGGTGGCCAGTGGCGAGCCTATACAATCCATCACCAGCAGCCGATTAAATGAGATAAGTTGTTATGGTGGTGGGAGTGTGCCTTTAAATGTTTGTACAGTCGCCTTTCTTGCTAACGGATATTTATTAACAATATTTGTTCACACATTAGCCAGGCACGTCCTTGGAGCCTGGTGCTACCATGATGATTTTGTTTGTACTGGTCGGCACAAAACTGCTGGAGGACTACATCTCCCATGATCCGCAGCATTCACGCAGATCAAATCCTGGCCCGTCATGAAATCTTACTCCGTGCGAAAATAAATCTGTTTCCTGTATAAAAACTGTAATCGCTGCAGAGCCTCAATAGACTCAAGATATCAATTTGGAAGCCTGAGGCACCCTCTAGTGGTCACTGTTCCTAAGTGCACAATGAGCTGGGCATTCTAAGCACTAACCCCTACAGTTCATTGTGTTGTTACAGTTCAGGGAAGTGGTTATGGTGCTATGAGTCTGTATGCGCCATCTCCTGGTTGTCTGTCTGTCTGTCTTAGAGCAGTTTCACAAAACCAGAGCTTTCTCTGCACCCATGGCTCACTCCCACCATAGCTGCTCATACAATTCATAACATTAATTTCTGATTCACTACCCAGAGTCCTCCAGTCTTGGACGCCAGTGATGAGCTGCAAGCGCTCTGGGATGGGATAGTTTCGTACTCAGTCTATTATTGTCATCAAACGTAGGACGTCTTCGAATGGATCATGTGGAAATTAAGAAAAAAATTGGGATCTTTTAGTAGATTGTATTTCTTGTCTGTAAAACAAACCTTCTTGTTTTCACAGAGAACGACAAATATTAAACCCAAAAAAATAAAGTTATGGTTGGAAATTATTGTAATAATTGATTTCGTTACTTTAGGAATTTGAATTTTCATTAACAATGTTTTGTTGAATGTTCTATAAGGGGAGAATCGAACAGTCCTGCTTATACAGCAATGGCAAATTAGCCGGAAAAAAAACCTCCTCCTCTCCAATTTAACTATTTTGCTAGTGAGAGCGTCGTTGGCCTACAATATACAAATCCCGTCTGGTTTACACAGTTTTTATGAGTGGAGAACAGAATTATTTCATGTTTAACCCATTTTGATCTGTACCGGCACAACTGCCACGTAACCCAAATGTGAGGCTGAAATCTAAATCTAGCCGCTGTGGGAGGGATTTGCATGTGATTCTTCGCACGCACAATGACAAGGCATCATGGAAGTTGAAGTTTTAAAACATCTGGGGCTCTATCTTTTGAGGAGTCCGGCTTTAATCTACATATTTAACAGATATCTTGCTTGTGCTCTGTGTTTCTTAAAGGAATACTACACCTCACTGTAGTGGTTATGGTTCCAGGAATGCCCTGCAGCCCCACCACATTATAAGTAGTTAA